ATGTCACCCACAGCTGGTTAATAACACGGTTATTACGTGCCTGTTCATTATAGCTATTCTGAGCTCAGCTAAGTTTAGTCTGTGCCATCAGCGACTGGCAGAGGAGACAATTCTCAGAACAAGACAGGGGAGGACGTACTTAGGACTTGCTGATGAAAAATGGCAACTACCAAATATAAGCATTGTACCTCGTCACCCCCAACAGGCACAGAATGAGCCTCATTTACTGCACTGCCTGAAAGATGAACTGTCTGTGTTCACCACAAAAAAACTGACTTTATTCTCCATTTTTAAATGGGATTGGCAGTGTGGGGAGCGCCATTTCATTGTCTTCAATAGTTCTGTTATTGCAACTAGAAAACATGACCAAGCAGCTAAAGAGACCCTGTCCCCATACTATTAATATCGGCAACAATCGTCCCACGGGATTAGATGTCAAATTACCTTTTTTTATGCATTTAAAGGCAAATTCCACCTTTTGTAAAAAAAAGTAGGGCTGGTAATGATTAACATTTTCGTGTTCGATTAATCGAAATTTTTTTTAATCGATTAATTTCAATTAATTATAACGCACATACAGATCCAACTACATTGGCCTATACACATACAGCACAGCAATGAAGTAATAATATGAACTAGGATCACACTAATCCAGCATGTTATTACTCTCACGTGCCCCACTCAATATGGCCGCCGCTTGAGTGGGGCAACTCAGAATAATAACGTGCTGGATTAGTGTGATCCTAGTTCATTTTATTACTTCATTACCTCATGCAGAAAGTTTCTTGGGCAAACTCGCCGGCCCAAGTGGCTCCGTCGGCTAACGAAGGGGGGAGGAGTCCGGTGACGTCACGGACATCTACATCACCAGACTCCTCCCCCTTCCCTTTGTTAGCTGTCATGGACATCGACGTCACCGGACACCCCCCTTCCCCAAGTGGCTCCGACGGCTAACGATGTCGATGTCCGTGACGTCACTGGATCGCCGACGGGACTCCCGGAAGGTGAATGTTTTCATTAGCGATCAAAATAATTTTAATCGATCAAAAAGTTTAACGATTAATCGATAAATTAATCTTTAATTTCCACAGCCCTAAAAAAAATGCATGCACACAAATTAAAAAAAAGATGTGCAATTATTGTTTTCCTTCCATTGGAGCCTGCAAGCACTGGCTCCTGCAGACTGTTCCTCCAGCCACTGGTCGTTCCAAGGTACAGACATTCACTTATTGGGATGAGAGGAAGTATCAACCTCACCACACTTGTACTCCATTCAGAACTAAGAGTCCCTCTGTCAAAGAATCTGTGAATGGATGGCTTGGCTGTGTGGGTGGAGCCCCACTGAACGATGCCAATTCCAAATATATATGAAATCAAGCAGGGAGGAGAACCCCAAAAGTGTGGCAAGGGGGGCTTTGAGGGGATGGGGGCTGAGGATGTGACCATGTTTCTTGGTACAACTTGAATAATGGGTGTAACATTAACAATAGTACAAATATGCAGTAAGTCCTGTAATTATTGATAATGTGATATTGTACAGGCCGAAGGCTGCTGCTGGGCGCCACCATCTTGGATGTGACATCCAGAGTCGGAGCTGTCACTCAAATGACACGCTGTAGGCCGCCTTTTAAGGCCTCATTCACACTTCTAAGAGCCGGCCCCTACAGATCCGGCGTGCGCGGCTGTATTGGGCCGCTCCGGGGAAGGACAGGTGCTGCGTGTGATTGTACGGTGTCCGTGTTCGGACGCAGAAAGGATCCATCCTGTCTGCGTACCAGTACAGACACCCGCACGGATGTGCAGCTCGGGTGAGCGTATGGCCACGTACTCCCATAGAGAAGAACAGGCTGCTGCGTACAATCACGCGCAGCACCTGCCCTTCCCGGGAGCGGCCCGATACGGCCGTGCACGCCGCACGGATCTACACGGGCGGGCTCTTAGCAGTGTGAATGAGACCTACACGGGTGGTCCAATGAGGTCTGTTTGTCAGTTTTTCAGGTGGAACAAATCGGATGCCCAATGCTAGTCTACGGGCAGCCATGTGTAAATGGACGGGCACCACCCGGTGAACCTTGACTCTAACCAAGTCCGGAAAACAAAACGGATTAGAGATCTGTTTGACCGGAGCTGATTGTGCCGGATTAGGGGGTCATTAGATGTAAACAGACACATGTCCATCCGATTCCTCATAGACTGACATGGGGTCCGATCATTTCAGTTTCTTGGATGGGCAAGGATGTCACAGCGGTGACATCTTATCTGTACTTCTCTGATCAGGAGGGGAGCACTGAACAGCCCATGACAGGGCAGAGATGTTCACACAGCAGAGCATAATGCCAGCAGTGACACTTCCTCCACTCTGCACATATTACAATCAGCTTCTACTTTTTTTTTTTAACATTCTCTACTCCAACCGGCATTTGTGTTGAATTACTTTCTGGGAGCACAGATAACAAATCGCTGACCTTGCCTGAAATCCTAACGTTTCCTAACAAGCAGCTGTGCAGAAGTCTGCCTGTATAGCGGGAAGGGGCAGAGGCTGGCAGAGACAGGAATTGACACTTCCAGGAAGTGATCAGATTCCCACTAAAGTTACACGGGTCACAACGTGGGACAAAAATGTTTGTTTTTTCTAAAGAGGGGAAACACGCCGGCATGTATTATCATACACCGTTGCCAGATTTTCATTTAAAAACTGGGCTTGAGACAGAATGTCTTCATCCAAACGGACGAATAGGGTCATACACTGCCAAACGTCTACGTATTCCTGTGGCTGGGATCACAACTGGTTGAGATCAGCTGGGGACAGGAAGTCTGTAGAAATCAATGACAGGTTGACAGGAGTCACCGCTCTTTACATGCAGGCACACGTTTAGCAGTTACATATGGCTAGGGAAAGCCGCAAACTGTCTGCATCCAGGGCCATTCATCTGTCCCTAGCCGCATGTAACCGTGCATTGGCTGTCAGCTTGTCACTGACTTGTACAGGATTCCTGTCCGTGGCTGATCACAAACACCTGTGATCTCAGCCCTAAAATATGCTGAATGAGGCCTTAAAGCCCATCTCCGGGCACACAAAACAAATACCCTTGCAGTGGGGCTACCCCTGCAATGCATGGGTTAAAGTGCTATTAAACTCTCACAGGGCTCAACATTTCAATAATATGATAATATGATAAGGCTTGAGCTACTAGCCAGGCCTTAAGAGTTACTCGCCACCAGTTAATTGGTGATCTAGGGGTAGATTAGTGAGGTCTGCAGACCTCACTAATACATCCTTTTCTTTCGGCCGGAGCTCAGAACTGTCAGTGCTCCGGCCGAAGGAAGCCGGAGCTGACAGGAGCTGCTCTGCGGTCTGCATCCGACACAGATGCAGACCGTGGAGCTGCTCCCGCAAATCAGGTACGCAGTCTGCGACCGTGTGCCTGACATGTCAGCTGGCTGCAGGCCACATATTACCGGCTCGCGGGCCGGATTTGGCCCGCGGACCGGTACTTGGAGACCCAAATTTCCACTCCACTCACTTTATTTTTGGAAATTTTGAGCCCTGTCTCAAACCTGTTTTCAATAAAGGATTAACATAAAACAAATATACTGTTTCTCCTGCATAACAAACAGGTAAATAAAAGGGGTTCCCAGACCAACCAATCACCAACAAAGTGGCTGGACTGCTGCACCTCAGCAATGTCTGGGTGAAAAACCTAAGGCCTGGTTCACACCTGTACGTTTTGTAGCGCGTTCAACGCTCTACGAACGCTCTACAAAACGCTCAAACATAAAAGTCCCATTGTTTTCTATGGGTATGGTTCACACCTTGCCGTATTTCAGCCCGTCTGAACGCGCTACAAAACGTCCTGCGCCTGAAAAGGTACATGAGCTTCTTTGCGGCGTTTTTGTCGCGCGTTTCCATTGGGATACAGCCAAGTAGCCCTCGGAAACGCGCGTTTGTCGCGCTTTTTTTTTTTACCGCGAATCGCGGTTAAAACGCACGTCACGAAACTCGCGACAGACGCGCATATTCGATACGCCTAGGTGTGAACAGAGCCTAAAGCTGGACTCCGGAAAAACAGCTACATACACATCTGAAACACATACATCTCATCCTCAGCACTGCTGAAATGGTTTTATTAAAAATGTGAATAATATAAATAATAATAAATATGGAACAGAATCACTCAGCTCTTATGGCAAGAGATATGTCTGTCTGCGTACTGACTGATCCAGCACCAAACCCACCACATCTGTTTGTGGCATGGATGACAGATTTAATTAGGAGGGGATTCATTCTTTGGGGGCTTTGAGGTTCACGTAGTCTGGACCCTTCTGAAAGCTTGACACAGATAAAGTATATCTAAACTGTTTTTGGATAGAGCGCAGGTTTTTATTGCTGTACACCCTTTTAATAAAATCTTGCCACTGGCAGCTGTCATTCCCGGGCTGAAGCTATTCAAGCGCCATGTGCTTACAATACAATTATTTTAAAAAATTTACAAAAGTCATTTTCAGTTTCGGCCTGACAAATTCTGCTGTGGGAGGTGCGTTGCAGTGCCATTCATTTCAATGGCACCTTAAACACGCCTCCCACCCACTGTGTCATCGCCCGCATTGGAATGTACGGTACCGCAATGGTGAGCATTCCATCACAGTGCGATTGCAAAAAATTGTGCAGTTTTATTCTGAAGTAAACTTTGTTTGTAACACCGCAGTGTATTTTATTTTAAATTAAGGATGGTATTTTTTTTTTTTATCCGATTAATCGAAAAAATTAATCGGCCAACTAATCGATTATGAAATGAATCATTACTTGCAGCCCTAGTGCACACAAAACTGGTGACACAGGTAAGCAGATGGTTTATTTATGACTAAATGTGCTCTGCAGTTTACTTTTAAGAACAACCTAACTGAACTCTACAACACAGAGAGAATCACAGACATGGCAGCATTCTAGGTCAAGGCTGCTCCTAATGCTTCTTCAATGTGCCGAGCTCAGGAGTACTTACATTTCAGTGTCTCGCCTGCATAGGGGATGTGGAGTTTGAAGCGATCGCAGCTGGGGCCCGGGGTCAGAGAGGTGCATCTGAAACAGATAAACAAATATTTTCACCTTAATGGCCCATCTAAGGCAGAAAACTACTGTCTAGGTGCAATTATTTTTAACCATTTTGCTGACAGAGTCATCTTTTCAGTTTTTACACACATGCTTAAATGCACATTTTATACATGAAAACGCACTTAAATGTGCATGCACACACACACACACACACTACAAGGGTTAACTACTTGTTTTTGTCTAGGGCAGGGGTAGGCAAGCTTGGCACTCCAGCTGTAGTGAAACCACAAATCCCAGATTGCCTCTGCCTCTGGGAGTCTTGTTTGTAGCTCTCAGAATCCTGCAATGCATCATGGAACTTGTAGTTCCACAATAGCTGGAGTGCCAAGGTTGCCTACCCCTAGTATAGTGCAAGGACTTTTACTTACCTGATTCAAGCTCTCGCAGTCTTCAAAACTAGCTCCCTCAGTCCCTTACCCCCTCTGTTCCAGTGGTCGGAAGACCACTGACATCACTACGTACATTGCAGGGCCCATAGCCCTGCATTATACATGAGGATGCCCAGGAACAGCCCTCAAGCCAGAGCGTAGGGAAGATGAGGTGAGCCGACTATTAGGGGAGTGGGGATCAGGTAAGCAAAACTCCTTTACACAACACCCGTAGACAAAAACAAGTAGTTAAACCTTGTAGTGCTTTAAAACCCCTAAACATTATTGGGGTAATTTATCAAAACTGGAGCAGAAGAATCTGGAGCAGTTGCCCAGGGACAACCAATCAGCTTCTCTCTTCAGTCTGTTCAGTTAAGATTTGAAAATGAAAGAGAGAAGCTGATTGGTTGCCAGGCACAGCTGCTCCAGGCTTCGACTTCTCCAGTTTTGATAATGCCCTTCTATATATTTTCTGAAAGCAAGCAGGAAGGACCGCTGCCCGGCTTCCTGATTGGCCAGGAAGCAGGCTCCATTCTGTTTGGGTGGCTCAATGCTGATTGGCTGGGAAGTCAGCTTCACGGCCAATCAGCATCGAGCCGGCCAAACAGCATGGAGCTGGCTTCCAGGCCAATCAGGAAGCTGGGTGGCGAGTCATTATCTGACACCCAGTTTTATGATTGGCCGGGAAGCCGGCTCCATGTTCCCTCGCGGCACTGCTGGTCAAAGGAAATCTCCCTCTGCCCGGAAGTTCCGGTATCGGGGAAGGTATCGGAGCATTTGGGCGAGTACAAGAACTCGCCCGAATACTCTGTATCTACACTGTTTGCGCAGCGCTTTACAATATAAGGAAGACATTACAATCACAATACAATTCAAGACAAGATGGTAAGGAGGGCCCTGCCCCTGAGGGCTTACAATCTAAGAGGGAGGGTGAAGTGATACATGAGGAGGTAGCTGTGTGGGGATGAATTATGTGAGAATGTGATGGTTCAGTGGTTAGGTTGAGGTGGAATAGGCTTCCCTGAAGAAATGAGTCTTAAGGGATCGCCTAAAGGCAGTCAGAGTAGGTGATAGTATCGGTAGCGGTGCATCCCTACTGAAAACACCTGAACTCAATCATTTGGAGGGTGTTCACATACTTGTGGCCATAAAGTGTAGTCGTTCCTATATATAGTCTGGGTGGGCACCATTTTCTCAGTACACAGCACATGACGCTTTAGCAAATTACATGTCATTCAATTAGGGTTTAAAGCAGTGGTTCTCAACCTGTGTAACCTCAGGACCAACATTTGTTTTTGACCATTAAGTTGCGACCCAAGATGCACTGCAATGGAATGCACGGAATTAGGGTACAGAGCGTTCCGGTGCGGTCGTACGAGCTGTGGGTGGGAGATGCGTTTGGGGAACCATTCAAATGAATGGCAATGCAACACACCTACCACACCACAATGCACGGTAGGTGCAATTAAGATTAAATACAGCGCATTAATCGCACTAGTGTGAATGGGCCCTCAAAAACACTGACATACATAAACAACCACAGACACAATCTGCTGTGCTGTGACAGAGCTCCATCCATACATGCATTGCGCCCTGTAGAGGTGCTGGGAGCCAGAATGTTACATCACTCCGGTGCTGGCACCTCTACAGGACATGTGAGGGAGCTGTAAGCAATGCATGTATGACTGGAGCTCCCTCGCGGCCATACCCCCACCTCAAGCTGACACATGGCGCCAGGCAGCAAATAATGAATGGCTGCTTGGAGCGAGAACTGACACTGCTGCGCTAGGGGGAGGCTAAGAAGCCTCTCACCTAGAAAGGTGAATGCCATGCGACGACCCACTAAACACGGAGCCGCGACCCACTTTTGGGTCACAACCCACCAGTTGAGAACCAAGGGTTTAAAGGTTTAAACTTAGATATGTATAGTTTGCGATTATACATGTACATGGGGGTGGTTATATTAGCTTATTATATATGCAGCTTGACCTGATATACAGTGAATGTGCTTTACTGCTCCCTACTCTCAGCTCCAATCTGATTGAAAACAAGCTACTATCACAGCTGCAGCCAAAGTTATTTAGCCCCCATTGAAAAGCAGGTTTATTGCAACATTTACAGACTTTTAGCTGTTTGCAATGAACAAATCGAAGACATTAGGTCGACACAATGAATGTTTCAAGTGGTTTCCCCAAATACATCTAAACATGCAACTTTTAATGACTTCTGCAGTCTCAGAATTATTCAACCCCCTGAATAGAATCCCTCACAAGAACACACATCTGAAAAACAGGTCTTGCCTGAAGCCCACCTGATGCAACTAACCAAGGGCTTCATTAGTTGCACCAGGTGTGCTTGAGCTAGAACACAAGAAATACCTAAACTGGCTAGGGGTTGGTTGAGTGTCATCACTTGACGCGTTTCGTCTGAAAGACTTTATCAAAAAGTTGATAAAAGTCTTTCAGACGAAACGTTGATAAAGTCTTTCAGACGAAACGCATCAAGGGAACGGCTTGCCTTGGTCTCTCACAACAGAGGACCCTCTTCGTTTAATGCAATTTTCACCCTGCGATCTTGTAAGTGCAATTTTTATCTTTTGCTTAATAAAATCGGAATGATTGCACTTAGGCGGTTTTTGTTGTTTCCCCTTCCTTATATCCCGTTCTCTTGAGACATCGCGGGGGGATACCACCGCCGATACGGGGTGAAGGGAACTGATCGGAGGTGGAGGCGAAAGCTGCGGTCAGTCTGCCTATCCGCATAAGAGTGAGGAGGCGGTTGATTAGAACAGAGGAGATCGCTTGAGAATCAGTTGGTGGACTATAAGGACAAAACCGAATAGAACTTTCTTTACAAATGTAACAAAGGGAAGTAAATCTATTCCCGTTCCTTCTTTCCTTTCTTTTTTCTGTTTAAATCAATTGTCCAGCTCACGGACGATCACTGGTTAATGATTGAATAACGATGTTAATGCGCTAGGTCACTTTAGGATACGAAGTTGTATCCACACTGGATTTATATGTTTGGAATCACAAGTTTACTATATGTATAGATAGATACATGAAGTAGATAAGCCCACAACACTGATGCTAACATATGTAAATATAAATTAAATAAGTAAAGGGATTTCCAGTCACATAGGGATCGATACACAGCATTTGACACGTACACAGGTCATATAGATCACTATACAAGAGGTTTTCTGTAATATTTTTTACAATTTTAGATATGGCAATGTTATAGCGATACATAGACGTTGCTCACCCTCGAATATTAGGATAATTGGTTTGTGCACGGACCGAGCGCAACATAACAGTTTTACTATTAATGGTACAATGGTTACACTACCTGGAAGGGGCAGAAAAGGGAAGCTATCAAGAGCTGCTACCAGATTTCTGAGAAGGCAGAAACCCAGAGTGACTGAAAGAGACCTGCAGCAAGACTTGGGCCCCATTCACACCTATGCGTATTGTAATATGCGCGTCTGTCGCGCGACCGTCACACGTTTTTTTTACCGCGATTCGCGGTAAAAAAGTTGCGCGACCGTCGCGCGTTTCCAAAGGCTACTTGGCAGTATACAAATGGAAAACGCCCTACAAAACGGACCAATACGCAGCAAAAAACGCTCCGGGACCTTTTCATGCGTGGGCCGTTTTGTAGTGCGTTCGGGACGGGCGGAAATACAGACAGGTGGGAACGATACCATTGACTACAATGCTATTTATTTTTTTGACCGTTTTGTAGAGCGTTCATCGAGTGTAGGACGCGCTACAAAACGGTCAGGTGTGAATGGGGCCTTGGTGGCAACAGGCATTAAGGTTTCAGTTTCCTGAGGCGCATACTAAACGCAGAAGGTTTCCATGCCAGAACTCCAAGACGTACACCACGACTGACCCAAAAGCACGAGAAAAGTTGGCTCCAATTTGCTCACAATCATATAAATAAGCCGCAGAAGTTTTGGGATTCTGTTCTGTGAAGCGATGAAACAAAACGGGAGCTTTTCAGCCCTGTGGATCAGCGGTATGTCTGGTGGAAGAAGAATGAAGCATACGTGGAAAAATTACACTCGGTATACAGTTAAGCATGGTGGTGGCTCGGTGATGCTCTGCGGCTGCTTTGCATCCTCTACCACTGGAAATCTGCAGCGTGTGGAAGGCAAGATGGATTCATTGAAGTATCAGGAAACCCGAGGAGAAAAATGCCGTGAGGAAGTGGAATCTTGGTCAGCATTGGACCTTCCAGCAGGACAGTGATCTCAAGAAAACATCAAATCCCACTAAGGCTTGGTTGCAGAAGTCCTGGAAGGTTCTACAGTGGCCATCACAGTCACCTGACTTGAACCCCATAGAAAATCTCTGGTGGGATTTGAAGAAGACAGTTGCAGCACACAAACCCAAGAATATTAGTGAGCTGGAGGCCATTGCTCGAGGAATGGGATAAGATCCTCAGGAACATTGCCCGTAGCTGGTGTCTGGCTATACATCTGGTTTGCAGCAGGTCATACCAGCCAAATGGTGCTACACTAAGTACTAAAGATGCTCGCCATGAAGGGGTTGAATAACTTTGAGACTTCAGACGTCATTAAAAGTTGCATTTGCGGTTGAATTTGGGGAAACCACTTGGAACATTCATTGTGTTGATCTATTTCAATTGTTTTTGTTTGATTTGTTCATCGCAAACAACTGCAGAATAATATCCATCCCCAGTGTTAGTTTGGGACATGTTCCCATGTTTCTCCTGCAGTAATGCGATGTCAGCAGGAAGAACCAGTGAGACCCTGGAGATAGACCCCAGAAGGGTCGGTTTCCCCATAGACATCAGGGAACAATTTCTACAGACAGGGGCGGCGTTCAGCAGCGCAGGGCCTTAGGAGAGGTAAGGATCCGGCCTCCTCTATCCCGGTATGGGTCAGATGAATGTTATGGGTGCAGAAGTGTCACCACAATATGTGGCAGGGTCACTTCCAACAGACATACCCTGTTTCCCCGAAAATAAGACCTACCCTGAAAATAAGACCTAGTTGTGACCATTCATAGGGCCGGTGGTGGCATAAGGGGGAACTTGAAGAGCCGCGGGAGAGGAAGGAGAGAGTCAGCGGTGCCAACGAAGCCAGCGCTAAAAGAAGCGAGGCGACAGAGGAGGGAGCAGAGCCGCATAAGCCGATGCCTCCTCTATAGCCCCGCCTCCTGTCACAGGCGGAGTGATACCAAATGCTCTCCGCCTGTGAGGAATCGATAGTGAAAGTGTGCTTCGCCCATTCTGGCCAGCGATTGGTTACCAAATTGCTCTAGCAAAGGTTAGGCACCCCTGATTGTCCTGATCACCATATTTTTGTACATGAATACATGTAGACTGTTGTACATGAATAAGTGTGGATTGTTGCACATTAAAAAAAAATAAGACCTACCCGAAAATAAGACCTAGTGTGTTTTTTTGAGCCAAAAAAAATATAAGACAGTGTCTTATTTTCGGGGAAACACGGTAGCTGTATAAAGACTGGTGAGATACATTCAGCTTCTGATTAGTTGTCACTCCTTACCCTGATTTCAGGTCAGTAATCCTCAGACAGCTGGTAGAGTCCAGGCCCACCTTCCCATGTCGGACCACACTGGATATGAATGGAGACAGTGCAGGGACGATGCGGTTCAATGTGACCTCCGGGGACATTCTACTGCGGCCTGTGACAATTCAGAGCCTGTGCAAGAAAAAAAAAATCAATGTGAAGAGGAAGCTGTAGCATGCTGAGGTCTAAATATGTGACTAGGGAATGTTAAAGTACAGATTAATACTCACACTTATTCAGTGCCCATGGTGCAGCTAATCCTCACCTTCTTACAAAGCTACAAGCGTCGGTAAACACTGCCGAGTATGACAGATGCCTATGTCTACCCCCTGCATGTCTTTGCCTTTTGTGCTCTGTCACTTGTGTGTCCCTGCAGCTCTAACGCCGACCATACACTACTCTATTTTGTTTTCATTTAACCTGGGAACTGAACTCATAAAATAGAGCAGATTTCTCCATCAGCACTCTGTATTCTGACAGCGGCTGTTTGTACGAAGATTTTACGACGCGCTCCTTCGATCAGCTGATTGAGGAAATTAGTGCCGACACCGTCCTTCTATCTAAACCAGGGGTAGCAAACCTCCGGCCCTCCAGCAGTGGTGAAACTACAAATCCTATGAGGCATCTCTCTTCGGGAGTCATGTCTTTAGCTGTGAGAATCTTGCAATGCCTCATGGGATTTGTAGTTCCACCACAGGAGGGCCGGAGGTTTGCTACTCCTGTTCTGGAGAGTGGCTACTTTTGTCCCCCGTGGTCCCTGTGTATGTTGTAAAGTAGTCACCGCTCCGAGCTCACTACTGTGATGGACTACAATCTCAATACAAATTAATAGGGATGCACCGATACCAGTTTTCCGGTATCAAGTAGCGTTTTTTTTCCCCTGGTACTCGCCGATACTGAATACCGATATCGGAAGTCCCATTAAGGAAGCCGGGCGGCGTGTAATGAATCAATACCTGGCTTCCTGATTAGCCGGGAAGCCGGCTCCATGCTCCATCGTCACAAGGTGACAAGGAAGCATGAAGGCAGCTTTCTGGCCAATCAGGAAGCCGGGGGGTAATGACTCACTCACCTGGTGACGAGGGAGCATGGAGCCGGCTTCCTGGCCAATCAGGAAGGCGGGTGGCGAGTCATTACATGCCGCCGGGCTTCTTTAATGGGACTTCCGGTATTGGTATCAGTGAGTGCCGAAAAAAAAATATCCATACTCGATACCGAAAAACATTGACATTGTAGTCCATCACAGGAGTGAGCTTGGAGCGGTGACTACTTTACAACACACACAGGGACCATGGGGAACAAAAGTAGCCCCCCTCCAGAAGGAAGGACAGTGTCAGCACCAATTCAGAGATGATTTGAGGATCTACAGCCGAGTGATACACAAATAAGATACATTGTTGTTGTTAGTTGGGGTACAGAACACATTTTTATGATTTAACTCTGGAGTGTCACTTTAACTGCCCAGTTTAGGCTTTCAAACAGCTTTTGAGCTAAATTCCAGGAAAACTGCTAAAAATTAAAATATGGGAGTCATTGCAACTGTGTAAAAATGTGTATTTCTGTCCATCGAGTTCTGATATTTACACAGCCCTGCCACACAGCAAAGCCCTGGCTGGCAGGGCAGAAGACCTGATTTCTCTCTGCTGCGATTCAGACACACTTACAGGTCTTGCCCCGCCCCCAGCTTTAATTGGACGGTGAAAGGAGAAGCAGCAGACTGATGAGCTCATCTCTCTATTTGCTCTCTCCCTCTATCAGCAAGCTTCTTGTTAGCACATTAGCACTGCAGCACCACTGACAGCTACTAATGCGGTTTTCACTTCACCTCATCTGGACTCTGCTGTACAGGGACTACAAGGGGTCAGATTCAAATGCTTGTACTTATCAAATACATTTATTAACGTATTAATGACCACAGACCAGTTGCTGTCTTTTTTATGTGCATGGAGTTCATGGCTTGTATAGCAGTTATAATGTTTATTGAGACAGCTACAGTAAGTCATATATGAACTTTGAACACATTGGTTTGAACGAAACCTCAATTCTGAACGGCTCCCCGGGTCCAGGCAGCACTCCTCCACCATCACCCATAGCAACAAGCAGGTACTCACCTGCTGCCCAGCACAGCTCCTCTCTAGCAGGAAACACCGGGGACCTTCCGCCAAGACCCGGTGTCGCCCTGCCCTCTACCATGCCTGTCTCCACTTCACAATTACATCGCGCTAACTTTAGCCTGAAACTCTATCAAACCCACAAAAATGAATAAACATGTGACAAAAAAATGTCATGAACGTATCAAAATAAGTCTCTAACTCCTTTTGAAGATAAAACTAATTTCAGGCACTTGACAGGGCAGCCTCCTAAAGTGAAAGTGTTGCTATGGTGACCCAGCATTAGGATAGACACTTCTTGGTTGGTAGTCACCGCTGAGCAGCTGCGGTCACGTGATGGGCAGTTTGCGAAGTGATTGGAGGAGGGTCTGCGCTGCTTGCGGCCATCTTTGATGTGGCATCGTGGGACAGTAAGGGAAGTGAGTAGAAAGGGGAGGGGGGTTTTTCGTGTGTCCATGGGCTTCTGTGGTCACGGGTGTGAGCATCAGTGGGCAGTTTATTGGGAGTATATCAGGGCAATGAAGCCACATGCTCCATACTACTCGCTGACTTCCCAATCTTCACGCCAGACCTGCTGTCCTAGAGCTGCAAATATTTAGATTGTTGTATTTGTTTCTTGCTGTCAAAAATGTATTATGTCTTGGCTGCACTAGGTTTTGGCCTGCTGATTTTTACCTTCCCCCACAACAAGTGTTCAAAAACTGTGTAAAAATCTCAAATTAAAAGTTAAAACCTCACAGAGATGGCAAAATACACTGAGATTTACATACTCAGCCTGGTGACCCGACTTTTACTACAGCACAGTTACATACTAAAACTTGGTCACGGATATGCCCCCCAGCCTGTGATTGGATGGTGGAAACAGATGAGCTCATGTCTCTGCCCTCTCCTCCTGTCAGCATGTTCCTTGTCTTCATATGTAAACACGACTCCTGGTTGTCCCCTAGTTCTGCCCCTACCCACTCCCAGCCTAGTTTAAAGCTGTGCTCTGACTATAGTGATTTATGTATATTTACATAGGTCCAGCATTGCAACAATGCCAAATGCATCATTTATTCCCGGTTGGCCCGGGGGGGAATCCTGCAAAATCTTTCTATTGCTGTGTTTCCCTTTTGCAGATATTTCCTCGCTTCCTGTCTGATAATAGGTTGTAGCAAGACAGGAAGTAAGGAGAAATCTCTTTAGCACAAGGGTGGGCAACTGGGGCCCTCCAGGTGGCCTGTGCGGCATCTCACCAGGGTTGTGTGGGCTATGCGGTGTCTCGGGTGGGCTATGCGGTGTCTCGGGTGGGCTATGCAGGCTCTCAGGTGGGCTTTGTGGGCTCTCACCAGGACTGTGTGGGCAACCAAGTGGGCGATGCAGTGTCTCAGGTGGGCTTTGCGGTCTTGGGTGGGCTATACGGGCTCTCAGATGGGCTATGCGGACTCTCACCAGGGCTGTGTGGGCTCTCAGGTGGGCTGTGTGGGCTCTCAGGTGGGCTATGCGGTTTTCGGTGGGCTATGCGGGCTCTTAGATTCCAATTCGGTGCCGGAACGCATTGGATCGCATCCCAGCCAGCTCACTGCATTCTGGGGCGGGAGGAGGCGAGGTGGTGCATTGAAGTCAATGGCACCGCAGTCACACCCACGAGACGCAGTGCGATCGCCTGCATTGGATCATGTGGCACATCAATGCCTGTGTTCTGGCCCGGGGGAGTCAGAAAAAAGAGTGCAGTCAGAATGCACTGGGGCTGATGTGAATTAGCCCTAAAACCAGACAACCCAGGTGACAACCTTACCTGTAACTGTCAGTCTTGCAATGCCTCCTGGTACTTGTAGTTCCACAACAACTGGAGGGCCGGAGTTGCCCAGCCCTGGTCTAACCTTTCCCCATTCTATCCAAAACTGAAAAATGTTGTCACATTATATGGGGCAAGACTCAGTTTTGTCTGTGTGTATATCTGGCCTGACGTCAGCTACTTGTGATTTAATAATTATCTGCGAGTGTCATGAAATAATTATCTTCGTGTTTGCTGTGGGTGAAAGGTCGCAGGGTGTCCGGAGAACTTTGTACTGACCATACTGCTTCTGTCTCCGTTCACAGCCAGTTCCTGCCTCGTACAGCGCCATGGATCGAGACGCCCCCCCAGAGGTGATTGTGGTTGGGTCATGTATGACTGACCTCGTCAGGTTAGTGCCGTGCTCCCGACACAGAGCCACTGATTTATAATCCTGTATGAACATAGTGAGGGGGGGCGGGATTTATCAAAACTGGAGCAGATTAGCACTGCAGCCAATCAGCATCTCTCTCTCATTTTCAAATCTTTCCTGAACAAACTGTAGAGAGATGCTGATTGGTTGCCATGGGCAACTGCTCCAGATTCTCTCTGCTCCAGTTTTGATCAATTCCCCCCATTGTATCATCTCAGCATTTTCCCGGGGGAAGTGTATTGCCTAATATTCTTGTTATTATTGATATTGCTGCTGCCAGTGTTACCCAGCACCCGGAAGATTCCAGGACCAAATGCAGGTGTCACATGATTAGTTCCTCCATACAATACCTTGTACCTCGGTGTTTTGGTACTGGATGATCAGCGGCGCTTTCTACTTCCTATCCCAGTTGTGTTATAAATGTATTTATATAGCGCTGACAATATTGCAGCGCTTTACATAGTTGTACATTCACATAAGTCTCTACCCTCAAGGAGCTTACAATCTAAAGTCCCTATGTCACATCCATACATAGGAGGGCCAATTTAGACAGGAGCCAATTATCCTACCAGCAGGCCCGGCGCTACCGCAAGGCAAGTCAGGCGGCCGCCTGACGGCGCTGCAGGGTGAGGGCGGAAAAAACAGGGCATTTTGACAAGTACTTGTACTTGTCAAAATGCCCCGATGTTTGCGCTATGTTTTTTTCTTTTTTTTCAGTTACCTTCGGCGCGGGACACGCGACCCCAGGCAGTCGCCGGCCAGCTAAATTAGGACTCCACCTGGAGCTCCTCCCACCGGACCAACAAGTGACGCTGGCTTCCTAGCCAATCAGGAAGCCGGGCGGCATGTCATGACCCGCCTCCCGGCTTCCTGATTGGCTAGGAAACTGGCTTCACTTGTTCCTAGGCAGCCTGGCTTCCTGACCGGTCATGAAGCCAGGAGGCGGATCATTACATGCCGCCCGGCTTGCTAGCCAATCAGGAAGCCAGGAGGCGGGTTATAACTTCGTGATTGGAAAAGAAGCCGGCTCCATGCTCCCTCGGCACTGTCGGTCAGAGGGGGATCTCCGGTATCGGAGCATTTGGATCGCTGCATACTCGCCCAAATACTCGATACCGATACTAGTATTGGTATCGGTGCATCCCTACTTATTACTGTAATAAAGATGCTATATTTTTGTACATCTTGGTTCCAAAAGATCTCCGTCGAGGTTACAAGTGACTGCGTGACACTGAAGTGGGCAATCGAGTATATAGGAAGTTGTGGGAAAGCCGTCAGTGAAGTGTTAAGTCTGCTTACTTTTCCTCTCACCACATAAACACTCCAATGTCTTCATGTCGGAAGAATGCAAAGCGCACTGTCACTTCTTTAGGTTGTTTGGCATAATGTCATGTTTAGGTAAGTGTCCCTCAGGCATGAGGTCAGTGGAATCAGTGTTTATTGCATTCGTCACCATGGCGACAGACTATGATGTCATCAGCCAGGTATTAATTGTCTCCCTGCCAGATAAAAAACAGCAAGGCGAAAGCATAAAAAGGGGAAATCAGATGTCAAATCAAATCCAGGAGCAGAGACGGCTTTCTGTGAGAAGTCAGGGCGGGTAGCAGATATACACTGAAGCTGGCCATGCACTGATCTATTTTTTTTGTTCAGCCCACGGGCTGAATGGAAAAATAGACCTGATTCCTCCATCAACACTGACAGCGTGTCATTGGAGGAATCCCGCTGTTTACATTGTATACTGACAGGTACTGCTGGCCCCTGTTAGAATACCCGACTAGGGCGGGCAGCTCATTGGCTGCCGGCTCTGATCAATTGAAGATTCAGATCAGCTGATCGAGGGATGCTAATCGAAAGGACGCCAACAGCGGCACACACTGTGCGAATTCCGTCCGATTCCTCAAAAACCGGCCAAAGTTCGAACAATATATGGGCACCCTAAGTCCATGGCATGATTTAAAGTGTATGTAAAGCATAAAGAGGAACTCCAGGAATGTAAAAAACGTAGTGCTCATTTTAAGGGGTCTCAAATAAGGCAGATATCCTGACGGGCTGCTAGACCGGTCCCCGCAGCCTTTTCTCCTCTGGGCTCTTGCAGTCTAAGGCCTCATTCACACTGTAATCGGCCCGCACGTACAGCTCCATGCTGCGTGCAGGGTCGTATCGGGCAGCTCCCGGGAAGGACAGGTGCTGCGTGTGATTAGTACGCAGCCCCTGTCTTTCTCTATGGGACTACGCGGACGTACGCCGCCCTACGCTCACCTCAAGTGCTGGTCCATAGGGGTGCGTGTTTCCTGGCTCGGACGCAGACAGGATCCATCCTGTCAGCGTACAAGTACGCTCACCCATACAGACGTGCAGGGCGCGTGAACGTAGGGGGGCATACGGCCGCGTATTCCCATAGAGAAGCCCGGGGGCTGCGTACTAATCACACGCAGCACCTGTCCTTCCCGGGAGCTGCCCGATATGGCAGTGCGCGCAGCACGGAGCTGTACGTGCCGGCTGATTCCAGTGTGAATGAGGGCTAAAGGTTGCTGGCTTCATCACATTGTGAGAAGCTCACAGTGTGCAGTGAAATCAGAGGAAGCCATTTCAGTCCAGGAGAGGAGCCGATACAACTGTGCAAGACTGAAGGGAAGGCCGGAGTTCAGCCAAGCATTCTCCACATTACCGTAAAACCCAAAGTCAGGTTAAACTCTTGAAGAGCAGAGCGGGGAACTCTTATCTGTTTACTGGTGACAGGAAGACCGATAAAATGGAGTTCTCATAACAGATTAGAAGACGATGAGTTTAGTTTGGGGTCGGAATGTTGGCCATAATGCCCCTGAGGGACTGGCCCATAACCCCCAGCACCGGCTCTCTGTCACAATGAACCACAATAAAAGAGGAATTTACCAGCGTGAAGTCCATCATCCCGCTAATCTCCCCTCTCCCAGCATTTCCTAATTCCCGTTTTTATAGCGGCAGCAGGAAGGGAGCTGTAAAACCGTATTTGTAACAGGAGATGTCCGGCGCTCTCTCTGTTGATCAGAAGATTACTTAATTGCAAGTGGCGTGTCGAGTGAGTGTTTGCTGGAACGTGGATCTCAGATTCCATACTTATTTCTTTACAATGCGGTGATGCTTATTCTTCTTGACAGTCAGCAGCTGAGCCGAAGAAGGTAAAGTGACCTCCTTGTAGGAGCTTCACAGTTACTGACTCACCTTCTACTGTTTACTACAAAACTGAGACGGATCTCCGAAATACAATTACATGGAAGACCACCCAAAACGGATATTCCTGGGATGGCTGGATGTTTGGAGTTTAAAGGCACAGCCATGTCATTCATCCACAAATCCTTTCCCGGGATCTGTGAATGAGGAAACTACCACTGCGGCAGAGGGACTCGTAATTCTCAGTGGAGTACAATGGAGACGTCACTGCACTTGTAGTCCATTGAGAACTTCCGCCAGGTCCGTATCTCTGTATGGACCTTGGGCTGGGAGGGAAGGTCAAGTATGTGGCCATGCCCAGAGATATGCGCATGAACTTGGCTGTCAGGAAATTCAAGTACGCGGCCATACCCAGAGATCTGCGCATGCACTTGGCTGTAAGGAAGATCAAGTACGCAGTCATGTCTGGAGATCTGCACATGTGCTTGGCTGTCAGGAAGGTCAAGTATGCATCCATTCTCCAAGATCTGCACATGCACTTGGCTAATGGAAAGGTCATGTACTCTGCCATGCCCGGAGATATGTGCATGCACTTGGCTATCAGAAACGTCAAGTACGAGGCAGTGCCTGGAGATCTGGGTATGCACTTGGCTGTCAGAAACTTCAAGTACACCGCTATCCCCAGAGATTTGCACATGCTGTCAGGAAGATCCAGTATGCAGCCATGTCTGGAGATCTGCATATGCAGTTGGCTGTCAGGAAGGGCAAGTACGTAGCTATCCTCGGAGATCTCACATACACTTGGCTGTTAGGAAGGTCAAGTATGCGGCCATGCCTGGAGATCTTTACATGCACTTGGCTGTCAGGAAGGGCAAGTACGCGGCCATGCCTCGAGATCTGTGCATACACTTGGCTGTCAGGAAGGGCAAGTACGCAGCCATGGCTGGAGATATGCACATGCACTGTCAGGAAGGGCAAGTACGCAGCCATGGCTGGAAATATGCACATGCACTGTCAAGAAGTGCATGTACTGCCTTTGGTGCCAAGAGGCCTATTTAAGCACAAGTTCTACTCACATTGGTCATCAGCTTCTGAGACGCGTGACCTGACCTGCGTTCTGGCTTCCCTGTGCTCTGACCTGGCTTCCTAACCCTGTGGTATCTTGTTGATCCTGGCTTGTATCATGACCTCACTTCCTGTCCTGCCTTGTCCTGACCAATGACTCTTCTTCTGGCACCCACCGGTTCCCACAATGTCTGTTGACCTTCTGTTGCATCTAGACTCGCTGCAGGCATCCATGCAACTCCTCATTCTGCTATACCCTGTGCTCAACTTCAGTGGGTAAAAGACAGGAGGTGTAAGGGAAACCTTTTAATCACTCGGCCTCCACCAGGTACATGACAGTCTGCAGAAGCCTGAGCATTGCCCCTGCAATTTACTGATCACGGTTACAGTGTTTTGCAGACTCCAATACAAAATAAATGTAAACAAATAATATAAAAATAAATAAATAATAATAATTAATAATAA